TTGTTGTTGTTGTTGCCGTTATTATTGTTGTTGTTCGAAGCTAACATTTTATTACTTACATCATCAGCATTAGGAATTGTTGCAGATATGGCTAAGAACCTCATATTGGCTCCAAATATTTCCCTCTGATTACTAGCTCTACTTTCTGCAGTCTTGACAGTTTTCATTCTGCTTATCACAGCTTCCATCGTGGGTCCTCGTGATTCATCATTCAGTAGATGAACCTAGTATGTTTGAAATGGAATCATTATAAAAGCTGACGATAATGATGAATGACTTTATTTAACTATAGACACGGTAAAAACTCATCAGAATTTAATAAACACAACATACATATAAGAACTACACTATATAACATACAATAAATAAACAAAATATTTCCAAATGAAAAGAACAGCTTGGTTATGATCAAAATTATTAAAACTCAAATTAATATAATCTGTTGCAGCCAAAACGAAATTCTTGAAAAGTTTCAGGTTGCCGAAGCTCAACTGGCAGGCTATTTCAAAGAAACGGGCCCCTAATAGTATATATTTTGCAAGATTTAGAGATTAGGGATGGTTCCTGGTGGTGGTACATGCTCCACTCTATCTTGTCATTGAAAGGTCGCAGTCGTCTACCAAGGCAAAAACAGCCGGTGTTCTGGGGGAAACCCCAGCTGGGTATTTGGCAAACAACACATAGGACATAGATTCAAAATTTGTGAGAAAAGTTATAAAATGAGGTTGCCATAGTGTGATCAAATTACCTCGTCAATGAGAAATAATCTCACAGCTTGAACTAAAGATCTGTTATCTTTCCATTTTCTTGTCATGCTGTCCCACTTTTCCTGCAAATCACAAGGATATACTGTTAGTAATCACACACTTCAGATATTGAGTTCAGTGCTATATTGCAATGCATATTCGTTTACAATGATTATTTTAGATATATAGCAATGCTACTCCTTTGATTGACCATCTGTGTTGGGACCAGTGAACTCTAATAAGACTGGAACGATAACTCGGCCGCCATCTTTGAAGCCAAATTGAAGGCCACCATTGGAGGTACGGCGGCGAGAATACACCTCTTCGAAAAACTCGGATTTCTGCCTTTCTAGCTATGTTAGAACATCGATAAAAAACTTAAAAACATCTACGATACTTTGAATCTTTGAAATTGAAATCTTCGGACGAAAAACATAATTTTTCGGCGTATTTTTGCAAAAAAAAACAAAATTACGAGGAAATTGAACTCTCCCCAGTTCTTTTTTGAAAGTCACAGCGTGCGAACTTCTCCCGGGCGCCAAATCACAAATCGCAAATCACGGGGGTTTCTACGGAAAAATCGATTTATTCACGTTTTAGAGATGTCAAAAAGCACTCAAAATAAACAACTATACCTAGACGTTGATACAAAAAAGGTATTGGTCCGTAGACTTATGTTTTAAAGTTGTTTTTTTTTTAGTCAAAGAGCAAAGTTCACTTCGGCACGTTCAACTAGTGTCGTTTTTATGAAAACAAACCTGATACCCTTCAAACTTTTTCCGTTGTAGGATGCACAGCAGTTCTAACTATCAAATAAATCCTATTTGGGTTTTTAAAATTGAAGTCTTTTGATGAAAAACAACTTTTCTTTCGTCGAAAATAAACTTTGACTGAATTTCCCACTCCTCGAAACTCTCCTTAGTCCTTTTAAAAGTGCAATTTCCTTTGGCTTCAGGCAAGTATGGGCATGTTTACCTGAGTTATCGTTCCAGTCTTATTAGAGTTCACTGGTTGGGACTCCCTCAAATTGGGTACATTACTGCATCAGCTAGGTCACTATGTTTTAAGGTGGCTCGACGCTACACTTTCTTAAAAATTAAAGATTTTCTTATTTGGATATGAATTTCTGGAGAATTACTTTTTGTTCAAAAACAAAGAGTATCTGACTTATGTAACACAATAACTAAGGAGTTCGGAACTTTTAAAAAACTATTCCTAACTGCCGTTGCTATGGCAACAATGATGTCACAACATGGTGGATATTTTATGTTTAAAGTAGTTTAACTCGAAAAAAAGTTCGGTGACCCCCATTTTTTATTTTATAAATTATTAATTTTAGTATTGGGTCGTTTCCAGAAAAGATCCATAACTCCCCGAGGAAATTTTTGCTGTCCGAAGGGGGAGGGAGGAAAAATGTCTTTGGATGTCCGAAGGGGGGGAGAGGAAAAATGTCTTAGAATGTCCGAAGGGGGGGAGAGGAATGTGGATATGTTTGTCTGAAGGTTTGAGACTGTGATAAAGCTATGTGATCGGCGATTATAATGAGCACGCAATTTTTATCGGCTATATGTCGCTCTTGAACACCGGAACGTTTATGTAACAGCAATAATTATACGTCCACGTAACTCGTAAGCAAAATAAGCGGCCCATTTTTGCATGCATGGCCACCAAAAACTAACTCGCTGTAACAGCGTATCCTGCATGTTGAGAATGAGTCGAAAATTGACACGCTTTATTTATATAGTTTGCAGTTTTCGTTCGTATATATAAGTTTGAATTATTCAAGTGTTTATAAAAGTGTGTATAAAAGTTATTAAACTGTTGCTCGAATTAAGAGACTGCTATGTGAACTGAACTCAAAACAATTTGTTTTTAGTATATAGTCAATAAAGCTTCGTTGCGAGGTGTGTGTCTAGAAAATAGAAATGGCTTTCATATTAAGGGCGAGGTTAAGGAATGCAGTAATACTAAAAAATGCATTAACATGTACAGTAAGTAAACACAGCAACGCTTGTCAATCAGTCGCAAGTTACATCGAATTTCAGTCCGAATTTTACTTGAACGAATTTTAAAGTGAATTTCTCCAAATTATCCGACAAAACCTGCCATGCACGTGTTTGTGTTCGCAAGTCACAAGAAGTCGCCAAGTGTTCCGCCACGCCGGAGCTATTTGAAAACAGCGTAGAAAAGTCACAATAAGCCATCGCTAATTCACTCTACGCTGGAGCGAAATCGTTTGAAAACTTTCACGTCACTTTTGCCGTAACAATTTGAGCACGGTTTCTAAACGGAGCAAGGTGAAAATGGTGGAGCGCTTGATAGCTTCGTGTGAACACCGACGTGTAAACTCGAATGCTTTTCAGTTAAATTTCTTGGGTCTATTTGAAAGATTTTGGGTTTACACGAGTGCTAATTCAATTTGTAAACAAACTGTAATGGCGGTAGTGTGAACACACGTAAATTCTGCCCGCATTAGTTCGCTCGCGCGTAGTGTGAACGCAGTCTAATTTTCGGTGACGTTTTCAAACGGCGAGGTAGCCTTTAGAAAAAATTAGAAATAGTGGATGACCGAAGGGGAGGGGGGTAATTTTGGGCTTTGATGTCCGGAGAGAGGGGGAGGATGAACCATTCAAGGATGTCCGAAGGGGGGAGGGGGTTATTTTCGATTTCCTCCGTTGGGGGGTATGGATCTTTTCTGGAATGACCCATTTTGAATTATTTTCCGCATGATTTAAAAAAATTCTATCATGGCAAAAATATTATTACGAATTTTCACATTTTCCTATCTTAAAATATTTCGGCGTGACAGAATTTTTTTGAAATTAAAAAAAAAATTCAAAATACCAATAGAAATCATTTTATGAAATAAAAAATGGGGGTCAACGAAAGTTTTTTTTTAGTTAAATTATTTTAAACATAAAATATCCCGGCCATGTTGTGATGTCATTGTTGCCATAGCAACGGCAGTTAGGAGTAGTTTTTTTTAAAAACTCCGAACTGCTTAATTATTGTGTTATAGAAGTCAGATACTCTTTGTTTTTATATAAATAATAATTCTTCAGAAATTCGTATCCAAATCAGAAAATCTTTCATTTTTAATTTTTAAAAAAGTGTAGGGAGCCACCTTAATAAAAATACAAATACTCCTATAAATAGATCATCTAGGCTTTCGGACTTCTGTTCTGACCTTACCATCAATTGCAATGCAATAACAATTGGGCCATTTATACAAGCGAAAATAAGCTGTGGCTTATGGCTGCAACTTGCGGACAAATTGGTATGTTGTTATTGCTATGGATTGCTATGTTGTTATTTTGTTGCTATTTGGTTATTTTGTTGCCATTTGGTTATTGTTATTGTTGTTGTTGTTATTATCATCGTTGTTGTTGTTGTTGCTGTTAAATCATTAGATCTTGTGTCAGGAGAGTGCTTTACGTTTTGGTCTATCCAACACGTAGGTTTCCTCCTGAGAGTATATTATGGTTGCAACTATTGAGAACACAAATATAGTTGAAAATGCGCACTCAGGATTGTATATTTGAGTGCTTAAAATATTATGGGGAATCTGGTACGTGTTGAACTGCATACTTCATGTAAACGTTCGTATAATGACTCACTTAGTGTTAGATTAAGTGATAGGGAAGCATGCTTTTGTTCTTTTTTATGCTTCGCTAAGCAGGTTTTATACGTCCTGTATACTTCTCATTAAAACTACAATGAAATACGGTTACGGTTAAAGTCGATCAGTTTCTAACAGGTTATGGGGCCCAGAACGTTTAGGTCCACTTTGGGGAAATCGAACGAGTATTTAATGTATTGTTTTTTGTGAGAATTCGTCGCTGTAAGCATGGCTGATGTGTCGCTGAATTCGTTGAAGATTGTGAAGTTAAATGGCTCGAACTATCGAGCATGGTCGTTCAACATGCGTTTATACTTGGAAAGCCTAGATCTGTTTGAGCATGCAGAAGGTACGGCTGAAAGTCCTGGAAGTAGTGCTACCGAGAACGTACGTCGAAGCTTCAATTCTAGTGCGAAGAAGGCGTGGACTCACATCTGTTTAGCCATTGAACCGGAGTATCAAATACACGTGCGAGATACGAGAAGCTTGGGATGCTTTAAAAGGTCAGTTTGCTCGTGAATCATTGTTGCAAAAAGTTAGGCTACGACAGCAATATTATTCTTGCCGTTTTCGTCCGGGAGATAATGTTAGAGCATATAAGTCACTTGAGATCATTGCATGACCAATTGAAAGAGATGGGAGTAAATATTGACGATAAAGAACTGGCAATGACACTCCTAGCGAGTTTGCCTGAGAAGTTTAAACCGTTAATAACTGCCCTTGATGCCGTTGGTGACGAGAATGTATCTTATGAAAAGGTGAAAAACATGCTTCTAAATGATATTGATCGTAGTAGTGATGCAAAGGGTTCTGATGATGCATTTGCTGCCAGTCGTGTCTGGAATAAGAAAGGACAACATAATGGCAACTGGAATAAAGAGAAGAAAAGAGTATTTAAGGGCAAGTGCCATAATTGTCAGGAAAGGGGACATTATGCCCGAGACTGCCCAAAGAGAAATGCTGACAGTGCAAATCGAAAAGAAAGCAAGGGATCAGCTCGCTGTGCTGAAAAGGATGATGGTGATTTTATTACTGAGGACGAAGCATTGTTTACTTCTGATCTATTACATAATTCTGGATGGATTATTGCAGGGATGCCGGAAGATCGATAATAGCGGGTGCAGATATTCATATATTCGCGTTCTGCCCAATTAATTTCTTTTGAAATCGATTGTTTTTACAGTCTGTGAACACGAATATATGAATATCTGCACCCGCTATTATCGATCTTCCGGCATCCCTGGATTATTGATTCTGGAGCTACACAACACATGACATTTGACAAGAGTAATTTATCAGATTATGTAGAGTTCAAGCAACCGTGTATTGTTAATCTCGGGGACAATCGTTCTATATTAGCTTATGGTAAGGGAACATATCGTATTGTTGCTGATCTTGGAGACCGTGTTCAAAATATAAGTCTTCGTGATGTGTTATACTTGCCTGATCTGGAAAAGAATTTACTTTCTGTCCGAGCTATGGTCAAGTTAGGAGCTAATGTTAGATTCGAAGGTGAGGGATGCGAGATTACACGAAATTCAAAGCTATTGGCTGTGGGCAAGATGCAAGGAAAGCTTTATATGCTAAAGGTTGTTACAGTTGATCATGTAAACATTGCAAAAGAGGATTCAAATTTAAAGTTATGGCATTATCGCTATGGTCATTTGGGAATGGACAATGTAAATAAGTTGATGAAAGGTGAAATGGTTCAAGGAATGGACTGTGT